TGCCTCTTACTGGAGCCTCAGAGGAAGCAGATGGACGGAGGAAGTTTTTAATGGATCTCAATTAAAGTAATTTAGCAGGCTAGAAAAACAGACAGTAGAATTGTGTGAATGTCAGAGAGTCAATTGTGTCCTTTTTCTTGGCAGGCTCCCATTTGAGCAATAGCTTTGCCAGAGTGTAGATTAATTGAGTGGCATCCTGGTAATGCTGTAATAACAGTAACCAGAGAAGAAGAACATGATGAATGATGGAATTACAGCAAGGCCTTGATGTACGAAATGCAAGGTCATTAGCCCCGCTTGTCCCGTCCGTCAGGGTGTTAGAAACTACATGACCCATGCGGCTGACATATCGTGTCCTTTCCAGGGAATCCGTGGGCTTCCCGGTGAGGAAGGAGCGAGCGGACCGCAGGTATGGACTCACATATACACTAAACCCAAGACATACTGAAGGCTACTACATGCACTATTCAGTCAAAGCGCAAATGTTTAGCGCAGACTTTTGTGCTGTTCTACACAACCTAATGTTGTACAGAGCACAAAACTACACAATGTTATGCATTTTACTGCTTAGAATAATTGTTTGCCAATTATTAGTTTTTTTTAATATTAACTTTTTACACTTTTGCTGTTTCATAACTGATATTTGTTAAGTAAATGTATTGCTATATTAAACTAGGGTGACCATACGTGCTCTTTTCCCCGGACTTGTCCTTTTTTCGGACCTAAAAAAATGCGTCCGGCCGGGATTTCTAAATTGCCTTTTGCTTTCTACAGTCGCCATTCATTGTGTGCGTATTTGTATTCGAGCCCCGCAAGGGACTGTTTTCTTAATCCCGCTCCCGCTGAATTTCTGACCATTATCAGCCGCTCCTGCGATTTTTGCGTCCAGTCCTGCAAGCATTCAGTATTGCATATAATTTTTGCGCAACAGGGAGGCACTATCATAATGCGGAATATTGAAATTTCTTTTGAATGAGCGCTCGCTGTTCACTTTCACTTTTCGATCATGCGTGCGCGCTCTGTGTAAAGGAAGATCAGATATTTGTCAGTGAGCTCAGGATCTGTTGAGCAGCAAATCCTCCAGCAT